GCCAGGCTTACTAATTCAGTATCTAACGAATACAGTCGATACTACACAATAGGCCTACTATTTGCTATAGCAACAGGTCAAACAAACGCAAGATTCATTTAGTATACGCTGTACAATTTAAGTAAAGATAAAGTTGACTATTGTATTCTCAAAATAACTCGGAATGAATTAGAATACTTGAAATAAATTAAGAATATTAATTGGCCCTTAAATAAAAACGTAATTCTGAGAGTTTAAATTTCAATAGTCTTTACTCTCCAGCGTTCCTTTTCTAATTAAGACAGGAAGTATTGGTATTTATGGCTGTTCCCCACCATCTCTAGTTATGAACTAATAACTAATGGGAAGGAAACAAGTCAACAGCACCTCTACAACCCACACTAAAGGATTGACTGTCACCCTTATAACGCACCCACAACTTGAAGTGCGGGGATAATTTTGAAGACTGGAGGTAAAAATACAAATATGAAATATATTTCTTGAAAGTAATAACTTAAGATAATACTTCATAAGATCATTACATTCCAGAGATGTATTTTGTACACAAGTTTTGCTTTTCATGTAATTATTTTATTCAGGGTTCGTTTTAAAGCAGGAAGTGCACTTGCTTGATTTTATTTAGAATAGAGTAGCCTGACTATTCATGGACAAAAGTATAAAATAAAAATCTTTATGTTTTTTTATTTGTTTACCAACTTAGAGTTAATATTTTTTGTATATTGATTTTATATCCAGCTTAACTCAGTAAATGAATAAGTTTCTATTAGCCATTCTTCTCAGTTTTAACTTGTCAATCTTTCTAACCTTTTTTTGTTCCAGAAGTATAATTTACCTTTAAATGTTACCAGCTAAATGCTTAAATCTGGTGAAACAGAAACCGATAGTTCCACAGAATCTTTTGACAATTGTCTCTCATTATCCAGCTCAACTGACAAGTTCTGATATTGAACAAAAGGGCAGCAACTTGTGGGAGACAAGAAACAGTTCTTAAATGTTATTTTTACACAACTCTGATTTTGAATCCAAATTAAAAAGTTAATGGAATGTGGAAGAAAATATATCTGCAGTTTATGTGATAATTACCTTTATTTAAGTTTTTTTGTGTGTTTTTTTATCTAACCAAACAAAAATAGAATAACAAAACTACAAAAACTAAACACCTATTACTCTCAACTGAAACAAAACTTTATTGGTTCTTGAAAAATACATTTCATTACAAGGAGAGCTTAAAACACCATACAGTCCACAATTGTTGACAATACAGTCTGATGAAGTACAAGAAATACCATGGTACTTTACAGATTGACCCATAAACAACTCAAGTGTTAACTCCTCCATCTTAAATAACAATAAAAATTTAATTTTTGCCTGTTAAATTCTGTTATGGAAATATATCTTCATTTTGCTTGAGAGTGTAATACCTTAAAAACTTGATATGAACACTACTTAATCACTATCTGCATTACCCACTTTCACAAGTAGAGGAGAACGGTATTGATTGTTAGGTTTATCTTTTCTGATTCTGTTTAACTTTGACCTCAGATCACCCTGTACAGCTACAACACTTCGTAAACTGAACTTAGAACCCAGTTTCTTTCGAAGATCTCCAGAATACCTCACTTCATCTTGTTCACTATCCGAATCACTGTCTCGAACCTGCTGTTTGCTAGACAGTCTGTCCCACACACTGCAGTTTCTCTGACCAGACTTCTGGGGTTCTAGGTCTACTTCAGCTTCACTATCCTCACTGCTAATTATGTCACTGTCAGAGGGAAGATTACTTCTATCTCGAGGTGGTAAACGATTTCTGATGTCATGAGGACTAGGAGCATTTCGTTTCTGAGCTGCTGCCTCTCTAAAGAAAATGTCCACTTATTAAACTCGGAAAACAACACATGATCGTCTACTGCTCATGTCTCTAGTAAAATATCAGAGATACAAAAAAATACAATATCACAAAATAAGAAACTTGATAAACCAAGTAAAGTAGACCTTCCGTTTTCAGGGGTTATCAAACTTCTTGTTTTGTTGTCATCTCTTGTTATTCTGAATGTTTTTAATATTTTATCTATTAAATCACAGAACATTCAACAATAATTATTATCTATATCTAAAAAAATGCTCAAGAGACAATAATTAACTTAGCAAAAACAAATACAATAAACATTTAGATATCTCTTGTTTTCTTTTACCATTTACTTTATTGGGGATAATGGTACAATATAACTCATGACTAACTGACTGACTTAAACCACCAACACTCACAAACAGTTTATACAGGTGATATTACAAGTTTCTTTTCTTTCTACCAAAGGTAAAATTAAAAACATAATCTGTGACATAGAAGCCTAATATATTATTTGATTTTACATACTCTCTGCTATGTACTACAGTTTCACCTATTCAAGGCTAACCAGCACAGCTTGTGTCAGCAAACCAAAGATGTACAGTTAGGCCTCTTACAATGTTGAAATGCATAAAATACTTGTGGAGTATTTCAATTATTTTAACTCACCATACAGCAGTCTACATTAACTTAGGTGTGTGAATAATATTATGGCCTTGCACCTAATTTATTATTCTGCATTATACAGTGAATGAACTGTTTAATGATTATATTACTTTTATTTTTCAACAAAGATAAAATAAAAAATATAATGTGTGATGTATTGTTCATACATCAAAATTAAATTTAGGTTGCAAAATGGTTAGTTAAAAAGGAAATAAAAGCTCCATAAATATTATCTACACATCACCATTATAACAGGTATAACAGTATTTTTTTGGTTTACAGACTCAAACTGTGCTGATGAGCCTCGAATAGGTGAAAACTGTAGTCCATAGCAAAGGGTGAAGCAAATTAAAAAAACATATTATGCCTCTATGTACAAATTTTACTTAAATTTTTCCTTTGGTAAAAAGAAGTCTGCAATATAATCATTAAACAGTTCGTCCACTGTATAATGCAGAATAATAAATTAGATACAATGTCATAATATTATTCACAAACCTAAATTAATTTAGGCTACTACATGGTGAGATAAAAAGACTTAAACACCATAAATATTAGGTCACAAAGAAATTAATGTTGCATTTTTGGAACACTTTCATTAACCCCCCCCCCCAAATGTACATCACGTATAATACTTAAACGAACCGCCTAAACATCACGTTAGTGTAGCCTATATAATGTGTAAAGGTTAGCATACTCAAATCCCTTATCGTGATGACACACGATGAGTCACACATTTGGCATGTAATGCTGTTTGAATACAAGAAGGAAAACAATGCCTCTGTAGCCACAAAGAATATCAAAGAAGTTTATGCAAATGTTTTGAACGTTCGTAATTGTAATGGTTCAGCAAGCTTTGTTCAGGGGATTTTAGCCTTAAAAACTGTGATGGCAGGGGCCGACATGTTAGAATTGATATTGATGCTCTGAAGATGTTTGTTGAGCCTAACCCAAGGCAACACACTCGTGAAATGACCATGAAATTGCATGTCGTATATGAAACAATATGTAAACATCTAAAGAATATGGTAAAACTCCATAAAGAAGGTTTTTGGGTGCCTCATGAACTCTCCGATGATCATCATTTCCAATGTGTGAATGTTGCTTCGTCTCTTCTGGTGCGTAATGCGCATGAACCACTTTTGGACAGAATTGTCACTGGTGATGAAAAATAGATTCTCTATGCGAATATTAAATGCCAAAAACAATGGCTCAGTCCTAGGCAAAAAACCACTTCCAACCCCAAAACCTGGACTCCATCCACAGAAAGTGATGCTTTGCATTTGGTGGGACATCAAAGGAGTAATTCATTTCAAACTCCTCAATCCACAGTGAACTGTCAATGCAGAGATCTATAGTCTGCAAATGGAATGTTTAAATCAAGTCCCTTCATCAGAAACGCCCTTCACTCATCAATCACAAAGGTGTTCTTCTCCACAACAATGCACGTCCACATGTAGCACGTTTGAAGGAACACAAGATTATGGAGTTGGGTTGGGAAGTTCTCTCCCACCCATCATATTCTCCAGATATGGCACCATCAGATTACCATATTTTTCATTTGCTGCAACACAATCTTAATGGAAGAACGTATGCAAATATGGAAAGTTGTAAAGAGGACATCGACATATTTTTTGATTCAAAGCCAAGTGACTTCTTTAATCAGGGCATTAACAATCTGATTGTAAAGTGGAAAAGCATCATCAATAAGAATGGAGACTATTTCATTTAATAAATGTTTTGTTTTGATATATAAATTGTTCAGGTTTTTTTTCATCTAAAAAAAAAAAGGTGACATTAATTTCTTGACGA